TTTACAAATACATTTTGTTAAATATACTAAAGTATATCTTCATATAGCTCAGAAAATGGTGTGCTAAATAACCAAACTGTTTGTACTTGTACAAAATATATATCCACAAATCTGTTACAATTTATTTCACAACATGAAATATATGGTTTTGTTAAGATGACCTGATTTATATGACTATAGACTAGAAGCTTCTGAATAAATAATATGTAAGAATATGTGGTTGTTTATTTACTTAATTATTTATATATATTGTACAACAAAAACTCTAGTTCTGTAGCCTATTCCTCTAATAGTATAGCTATTATGAAACTTAATTGTTATATGAGGGCTTTTGGGATAAAAGATTGTTTTATTTGGTTCACATATTAATCACATTTTGGGTTAAAATCTGTTAATATTAATTGCCTAATTTGCATAATGAATAATAATTTGACAATGTGCATGCCAGGGTACTCACAGTTTTTTGTTCTACTGGTATATGAGATTTTGACTTGCCAAATGATATAAAATGATGACTAAAACTTTCTTACAGTATAATTAATACAAGACTCACATATTAATTTCACTACCAGATTCCCTTTCATCACAAATTCACAAAATAGTCTTTTATAGTCTGCACTTTCCTTCAGAAGATTGGTACAAAAATTGTCAAATTTTTTGAGTGAAAATTGACTCAAATTGTGTCTCCAAAATTAGGGTTCATTTCCAGAAATATTGAATATAAGAAAAATGTGCAGAAAAGTTTAGTGGTGAAAAGATTAAATATTGAAAATACGTAAGAACAATATATTGCTTGTTAGAGTTTTTGGGATGAGCTGCTAAATTTTTCGTTATTAGTCAAAATTATGTTCAAATAGAAGATGAATCATTGCCTCATTCATTTCAACAAACCTTATGTGTAACCATATTCCTCCCAACACAAGTTACTCTGTATCTTCCCTTCTTTATTCACAGATATGGTATTTTACGTTTTTCTGAATATTTCAAAAGAAAAGAAGAGTTTCTTCCATTGGAGATGCCAATATGATTCAGTATAACTGGTACATCAGTTGCCAGTCTAAGTTTATATATGCATTTCTATTGTAGTGCTTTTAATACATATTCCCTTCTCTTATAATGCTACTTTTTATATTATATTCTGACGACTGCTTTTAAGCCAACATTCTTGCCTGTTTTTTGTAATGTTCTTTTTTACTTGTTTATGTGAGATCTTATTCCCTAGATAAAAATGATATGTCAGCTAAAATTCTCTCAGTCGCCTGTTCCTATAAGTCTGTTCTAATTGTAAATTAAAATTACAATGTGTAATATAATACAGATTAACAAAGCAGTGATGTTCTATGATTCTATGGTATAAACTTGGAGATCAAAAATGTTCAGTACAGTTTCACAAAAACATAGAAAATTTTCTCATTTTTTGTACCCTATAATTATTTCATTATAAACTAATATAAATAATAGAAAAACTTGACTTTTTTTTTTTTAGAAAATCGTATGTTTATATTGCAAAGTTAGTACACAGGCTTCTATGGGGAAAAAGTAAAACATGACCATTTCAAATATAAAAAAGTATTGTAATTTTTTTTAAACTAACAGTTAAGAGGTCACTGACCTTTTTGAAAATGATATTAGCACTTTGATAGTTAGCGATACTCTAATATATGTGTGATAGACCATTTCTCATATGAAAAACTTTAAGTGTCACTTAAAAAAGTTAGGAAAATGGGAACTGTAATGACCATAATATAGTATATTCAAAATATAGGTATACTGTTGAAAATAAATCCCTCAAAATAAAATATTTCTGAGATATACAATACAATTTATACAAATTGGTGTATGAGGATATTTTCAAACTAGCAGAGACTGTGTATATGCCTCCTCGTTGTAGGCACGTTGTAAAAGTGAACATGTATGGAACTTTCTCTGACTCAAAAAATATGTTAATATGAAGAAATATAGTTGATAAAATCTATATAGTTTTATATTTATATAGAAAAATAAAAAAATAATTGTTGAAAATGTAAACATCACCATTGTTTACTCTGTGAATGGTACTGAATGTTAAAATGATCGTTTTCTGAATCTGCAACATCAGTTTACTGTAATTGCCCACACAGTAATGTAAGCTTTTTATCTTTATAGAGGCTTTCTAGTTGTAAGCATTTAATAACATTTTACATTAATGTATAACATGTAATGGTACGTACAGTGATGATTCATATTCATATCAACGTGACATTTTATTAACTTTACTGGAATAAAAAATGCTTGTTGAAATAAAAAAAAGAGTTCTTTGCTTTTCTTCTGTCACCATGGATTTAAAAAGATGAGGGTATGCAAGTGGTGTCACATGTGATGAAGACAGCTAGGGTGATTTAACTAGGAGCATGCTAGGAGTCACAAAAATTCAGAGAGGATCGTAAATTTGCATGAAAAACATTTTCTAATGCAAATGAAATGGTTGGTTTTTTCTCTGGTTGTTTTTACTAATGTCCTTGCTTATCTTTAAAGCATGTATTATATTTGTTTTCCATTTCTGAATACTGCAATAATTTGCTCATTTCTGTAAACACATTCAAACATTTCTTAGCATCCAATGTACACTGTGATATCATCAGTTAAAATGTATTTGATTTGAACTTGCAAAACGTTTATATCACTGAACATAGATACCTAATTTGCATACACTTAACTCACATATTCATGTGTCCCATATGCTGGTAACCCTAAAATTGATGTCAACATGTGTGTGCTCATTTGGATTTCTAACTCGTGTATTATGTAGACCATCAACTTGATTCTCCAACAAAGGATTATGGGTAAAGTGTGACATTTCTGCTGTTAAAAATTTAGAAAATAATTTTTGGCTCTGCAAATAGTACTTTTCCTTTAATGATTAAAAGTACATTTATTGTCTAAGTTTCTGGAATGTTTATCAAAGACTCTTTTCACTATTATTGTATTCCTAAGCTTATGAGCATGTGGTTGTATTACTGCATCAGGACATGGCATTTACATGTACATAGATTAGTCCACCACTCAATTATATAATTATTATGTTATTATTTTATTAGAAAACAACAATGAGATATGTGAATAGAAATAATTTCAGATAGGATAGATATCCAGTGTTTTTTGCTTTTAAGAACTGTCACTAGATTTAAGATTTTTTTAAATATTCTGTGAAAATCAGTATCTGGTGAAAAATAAGTATACTTCTTAAATTAGATGAAAACTGTCGAATTAACTGAATTATTGCAATGTTATTTATATATTTATTCAGGCACTGAACAATGTTTGCTAAACGCAAGGAAGACCAATAAAAATTTTTATTTGGCATGAGAATGTAGTTTTAAATCTCCAAATCCGATGCATGAATGCAAATGTCATTGACATATGGCGCACTGCCATTGGGTATCGTATACACGTACCCAACAACAACTTTCTAAAAACAAATATAACTCAGCTTGCAGTCGAAGAGGGCGCACATTTCTACACGCTCGAATCATGGCGACGCTTAGAAAATTAGACGTCACCGTCGATGAAAATAATCCGAAACCCGGGGCCTTGGAGTTGATGAAACATATCAGGCCTGAATGGAAGATTGATGATATACAGCTCAAAGTAAATGCATGTTTATTAATGTCTTAAGTACCCCTGGTTCTTGTATTCGTTTGGAGCCGGTCACCCGGTGTTGCAAACAGTCTACCCGTACCTGGGCAGTGGGTGTTTTCACTCAGTTATGGTATGCCTAGCTAGCAATGAACGGCCCAGGCGATGCAGCGATGCTTGTTGATGACACATGTCTCTTTAGGATTAAATTATATTCCATTCATGCGTTATACGCCGACGCGTGACGTGGCCATGACTGGTCTGGTTGCTCGTATTGTTATAACTATAATCATCTGTGGTAACGGCCGGTCGTTACATCAGTGTCTGGGTCTGCCATATTTACATACAATTTTCCAACTTTCTTTTTCATTATTAGTACAGCTGGAGTACAATTCCAAGAATACATCTGGAGTATTAACATTTTTGAATTTTTTAAAAATTACTAGTACCAGCTTATCATAAATATGACATTAAGTTAAAATGTTGAACTCATTAAAAAATATGAAACATTAAGGCAGTCACAGACTTCTCTCGCTCAATGACTGAATTTTAAACACTTCAATGGTAGTTTTTAACCTCAGCTGATAAAAAATAATATGATAAAAGTGGTATACTACATATCTGTAATTAGGCCATGAATGAAATTTGTATAAAGATTTTATAATTTCAAATGATCATTGAAAACAACTTAAGCAATTACAATGTCTTGGCCGATGATAATCGCTAGTATAGAATCAAATAACTGGCTTTGATTGCAAAATTCTCCTGCTACCTGAAAATGAATATGTTAATTTAAATGTATTAATGGAATGGTCTCACAGCTTAATACCAGTAAATGTTGAAATCCTGATCTTGCATAGAAATATAATAATATGAATAATCTTTATTGAGCTTGCATTCTCTTTGGCATTTAAATTACATGAAAATAAAGCCAAGAAACGGAAAAATTCCCACAGAATGACAAACATGCTCTGTTAAACTTTTTTAATTTTACTAAAAATAGAACTGACATATTCAGAGTATGTGGTAACCGTGTGAAATGTTCAGAGAACGTGGTAACCATGTGAAAAAGATCAGCTGAGGACAACAGAGCAGACAATAATTTTTGCTGGGATTATCAGAGATTTGTTTTGAATCCCAAGATAATTGATTACCTGCACAAACCCTTTGAGAAATTATTACAATGCAGCAGCAGTTATAAATACGTTTGTCGCTATTATAGTTTTTGTTTACTCATTTGTTTGTCTGATTTGAATGTCTTCATGAATAATTAATCGCTTAGAATATTTAATGATTTGACTTTCATTTACCACATATTTATGTATTTTTCTGTAATTTTATTGTATTTTGGATCAGTTACACTCATTTGCTAGGTCTTGATGACATTTTTACAAAATCTATGGATACACTGATGCAGGTTATTTTGTGAAAGTTGACTCTAGTTGACGCTAGGTTTTCTATTAATATAAAAAAAAAGAAACAATTGCAGCGTACTGCAGTGCATTTTTATTGGGCGTGTCATAAAAATATTTCTAAATTGTCACAAATACTGTAATATATTTTTAGCTGAAAAGACATTTTAGCTGTTTTTGTATGAAATTTATTTGCGGCAAGTTGAATGTGAAATATAGGAATTTAATTTAATTTTCACTGATTATAGATGATTTAATATGCCTTTTATGGTCTTAAACATATGCAGATATATATAAAATTCATGTGGAATTAATGAGTCTGAGCAAAAGACAAAATGTATGGTTTACACAGTAGATAATAATTGGTATTATTATGTCACCGTAATTGCATAAGTCACAGCGTACCGTAATTTTGCAGTATTTTATGGGGTATTTTCATCCTACCATATAAGGAAATGCGAATTTGAAATATTTAATGATTGCGTGCGTAAGCGTCCTCTAATATCAAAAACAGGGTTTGACCGGACTCCACACAAAAAAGTTCACTGATTCTGTTCTAAACTTTTTTAATTTTGGCATTCCCATGATGTATTCTTGGAAGGAAAAGATGTATAATAATAAAGTTGTTACGAGAATACGCACTGAGACAGTATACCCTCGCATCAACCTTCACTGTGCGTCAGTCGATACTTCCGCTGTAGGTATACTTATAATAACCTCATAATCATTGACCTAAACAACTATTCAAAATAGCTAGCAATGTATGGTTGTATCTCATCAGCTTGATCAGAATATGTGACGGTATACCTGTACGTTTCATCTGGGTTTAAGGTTTTTAGGGTAAAGGTCAGGGTTCAACTCTAGTGACCTACAAAAGCACATGATTGTATACCCTAGATATCATTGTTTTTGCTGAAAGCAGCTTTTTAATGATTACACCTTAACATACATCTGTAAAGGAACTAAATTTAATGAAGAAATGCAAACCTAGTTGATTAGTCAGTATTTTTAGTCCCCGTTCGGACGCAGTCCGAAAACAGGGACTTATGTTTTGACCTCTGTGTGTCTGTGCATGCGTCCAGACCTGTATCTTAGAAATGCCTGGACCAATCACAATCAAACTTCACACATACATCATACATGATATTATACATATGCACGTCAATTTGTTTCACGATCTGATTCAAGATGGCCGAATGGCGGTCATTTTTGTGCTAAAAATCATCAAAATCAAGCATTTCTCGGCTGTTTACAGATGGATTTCGTTCAAACTTGATATATACATCAGACATTATAGGACCTTGATGCACATCATTTTGTTTTACAATCTGATTCAAGATGGCCGAATGGCAGAATTTTTGTGCTAAAAAATCCTAAAAATCAAGCATTTCATGACTGTTTACAGATGGATTTCGTTCAAACTTGGTACATACATTAGACATTATGGGTTCCTGATGCACATCATTTTATTTTTCAGATTTGATTCAAAATGGTTGACTGGCGGCCATTTTGTTTTAATGATTGAGCTTCTAGACCCATATCTCCGAATTGTTTTGACTGATTATATTCAAATTTTAAATATTCATTATACATCATGTCATAGATAAACAGGTATATTGGTTTGACGATCCTATACAAAATGGCCGAATGGTGGTCATTTTTGTGTTAAAAAATCATCAAATATCAAGCATTTCTGACATTTATGGATGGATTTCGTTCAAACTTGGTACATACATTAGACATTACAGGTTCCTGATGCACGTCATTTTATTTTTCAGATTTGATTCAAAATGGCTGACTGGTGGCCATTTTGTTTTAATGATTGGGCTTCTAGAGCCATATCTCTTAAATGCTTTGACTGATTATATTCAAATTTTATATATTCGTTATACATCATGTTTATATATATATACATGTACTATAAAATACTTTATTTTCACTTGGAATTTATTTTTGCTGAAGGAATGATTTTGTGAAAATAAAATCCAGCGAATATATTTTTTTTCCTATATTTCACATTAAACTCATCAAAAATCAGTGAAAATCAATTCCATAAAAACGCCCAAAAAGCCTTTTTTAGCGAAAATTAATTCCAGTGAAAATAAAGTATTCCACAGTATTCAAAATGGATGATTTTGAATGCTGTTCCAGAGCAATATCTCTCAATATGGACACAATATGGATACAAATGTCAATCATTTTAATGTTAAATAATCATATTCCTGACATGGTTATATTCCAGCTATATTACTATGAACAAAACTATATATCTTAAATTTGGTAACTAACAGGGACTCAATCTGATCAAAATCTGATGTAGTGTACGGACTTTAATTATTTTGGCTATCAACTTATTTTAATTTTATTTTTTATTATATTTGTTATTAATGCCTTTTTATTTTATTATTTTACTTTGATTTTGATTTTTTTTTAATTCCGCCCTACCTACATCTGATCCGACGCCTATGTAAGTGCCGTTCAAATCTCGCCTAAGTAACAACCAATCACAGCCCCCCTTTTACACAGGCTGTCGGTTGCTTACTTTTCAGTGTATACGGGCAATCTTTCTGTACATTATATTTTGCCCACTTGAATAAACCATTAATAGAAAATTGCTAGTATATTTTTATTTACAAAAGAAATTCCACAGCATTTTACAATTATTGTCATTACATTGAATATTTTTTTCACTTCCAACAAATGTGTACACTTCCAGATACATCTTCGCCAGCCAAGGTTCGTTCATTCAGTCATCGCTTCAATTTTACATCAAACACTGAGCATAATTATCTAGAATGGAAGCAAAAAAATAAGTAAATCGTAATGATTAGAACACTGTAAACAGCTATATTAAACAATGCAAACTGATTTTAAATTGTACAACGGTCACCGGCCCACGGCATCGACGTAGAAAATTGGAGCAAAAAAATATTTCCTGATCAATTGCGATGTGTTCCAAATAAAAAATATTTTAATCCAGTCCAAATCAGCTCAATTACTTTAATAAAGAGTTATTGTATAATGTACAAAATGTTGATACAATTTGATGAATATTTACAGCTACGGCTTCAATACCGTAGATGATTTTGGCCCGATCGTCAACAAAACATCACCCGTCTCCAGGGCAAGCGACTGGAAAAAGACACCGATGTTCGGTTGAAGCGGTGGAAACAAAATTGTCACTCCCAGAATAACTACACAAAATAACGATCTAAACTCAAACCATTCGAGCCACAATATTAACATAAAAATGACTTTCGTTGCATTTGACAATGATAAACTTACCGAAAAGCCGTGTTTTTCTCGGTCGCTAATGTCGGTATAATCCGCCATTTTATTTGAGTGTGTTTGCCACCTTACTCTGCCCAGTGACGTCACCATGCATGCTATAGAAGGAGGTCTGTGATTTGTTGACTAAAATCGTCGATAGTGGGTCTCGTTTTAATCATGTTACATAGGCATCAGATCAGTTGTATGCAGGGCGGAATTAAAAAAAAAACACGAAATCAAAATCAAAGTAAAATAATAATATAATAAAAAGGCATTAATAACAAAAGTGATAAAAAATAAAATTAAAATAAGTTTATAGCAAAAATAATTAAAGCCTGTACACTACATCAGATTTTAATCAGAATGACGGGGACTGTGTCATGCATGGCTTTTTCTAATTTGTCATGTTTATATTTAGCATTTACTTACAAATTGTTAGTCATTTTTCACCTTGTATGAAATGTACAGTTCAAATTATGAAATAGTACACTGTAGGTAAAATGTGCCAGATTTTTACTTAGAAATCTTGCAATTTTTACTTGAAAGTCGCATGTTTTTGCTGCCTGACTTCACCAGTGTAACTAAATAAAATTCATAAAAGCTAAATGTTGCCAGCAAATACCGGTATACAAATATGCAAATTAAATATAACAAGTCATTGAAAATGACACAGTCCCCGTTAAATTTTTGAAAGTTCTCTTTGTGCTCGTCATATTGAAGCAGAGGGGTTGTCGCGAGCATGTCCATGAAACTTGAGTTCCAAGTGGCATATACAACAGATTGTTTATTTACATCAAAACACGTGTTTCGTGTAGTAGTAATATAGCCGAAAATAAAAACAGCCGTTATTTGGCTATCTTTGATCTTATTATGAAACACACTGAAATGTATGATGTATGTGCCAAATACGAATGAAAATGGTACATAAATTGTGGAAATATAGTAGTATGGCCAAAAAGTCAGATGGCTGTCAATCGGCCATCTTTTTGAAACAAATTGTCATGAACATGCATCCTAACATGTATAAAGTACATGTATGTGCCAAATTTGAATGAAAACTGACAGAGCACGTCCAAGATACCGCATAAAAAAAAAAAAAAGATGCCTGCCAGTCGACCATCTTTGATCCAATTGCAAAATAAATCGTCATGGACATGTATCTTAACATGTATAATCTTTGTACCAAGTTCGAATGAAAACTGACAAAGCATGTCCAAAATACATTTTCAAAAAACAAGATGGCTGCCAGTCGGCCATTTTGAATCAAATCACTAAACCACTGCATGTGCATATGTCCCACATAAGGTACTAGGCACATGCAAAGAATGAACAGAATCGGTCCACAGGATTCTGAAATATGACTCTGGACCTGCTGACGCACGGACGGATGGACACACAGACGGACGGACAGACTCAGGAACTTGGTTCGTTGTAACCTCACCGATGTATGAGATTAGCAAGAAATACTAAACTATTTTCTGGCAAATTTCTCCTAGAGATTAAAAACAAAGTTTGCACAATTGATAAATTATCTTTGTATCTGGAGTTTAAATTTAACCTAGAACTTAAAAAAATATTTATTTTACGTTAAAGAATATTTTCATACTCAAATGCTTGCTTGTCTTCACTGTTCATCAGAAGTCTTTGAATTGAGATCGACGGTAAATACAAAGTAAACAGAATGCCTGTCTATGTTTACTTTGTGTTGAAGCTTCTGTAAAAATGAATACTATTTTGTCTGTTTTCTTTTTTTTATATCTGGCAAAATAAATTTATTCTAACTTTCTATTATAATTCACCCTTTGGGTAAATTTATCTATTTAATGTCTACAAAAGATGTAGATATTATCCCATGTTCAGCATCTTTCAGTTCCTAAGCTTTAAAAGTGCATATAAATAAACCTGTATATTTTATTTTTGTGAATATTTTTTTGCCAGGTATTTACTGATGGCATCACAAACAAAATATTTGGCTGCTATTTGCCAGAAAATAAGCGAGAAATGGTACTTCTGCGAGTCTTTGGGAAGAAAACTGAATTGATTATTGACAGAGAAAAAGAAATTGAGAACTTCCAAATACTACACCGTGCGAAATGTGGTGCTGAATTATATTGTATATTTAACAATGGTCTGTGTTATCAGTTTATTCCGGGTAGTATACTGGATGTAGACTTAGTACGGAATGATAAAGTTTACCCGTGAGTATTTATTGAATATATGGTATACATGTATGTAATGGGGTCTCAAAAAACAATTTTGTTTTTCAAGAAAATCAAATTTTTATTTTATTTGTTTCTGTAGATCATATATATTGAATTTATATTTGCAGTATTCAAAAACATCACTTTCTCGTATCCATGGCGACTGGGATGTATGAACAAAACAGTCTCATGCTTTGTCCTGCATGAAACATACACTTTTGTAAATTGACTGATTTGATAATATTTAATTAGTAAGAATAGTAGAGATAAAATAGTGTTCAATGATGCAAGGAGTAACAATGATACGAACCAGAACTGAAGAGTAAGCAGGCATCGTTAATGCATCATTAATTAAAACATGGCCGATAAAGTAAATATGTAATTTATATATATTCTATCGGTAGTTCATATATAGTAAGGTTAAAAATATATCGTTTTATGATTTTTATCTGCTTGGCACTCGTACACTCAGCGGATGATAGGGAGTATGTTTTGTAAAATGTGGAATAATACAACCACTAATTCGTTAAGCTTGTTTTTTGCACTATATTTTGTGCTGATGTGAGATAAAGCATCTTACACACCAAGGACCTCATTTGAGACTTGTAAGGGATTTTTCATCTCTTTCTCATAAGGCTCATCTACTTATCAGGATATCTTTAACTTTGAAATATGTCTAGCAACATTTTGTTTTAATATTTTGATGTCAAATATCTCAATATAATGAAAAGACAACACTCCTAGCCATCATTATCAAAGAGTATAGCAGGCGAGATTGCTGATGTGTATGTGTAGTTGTGAAGAAAAGTCAAATAATTTCTGTAGATGTTTCAAATCGTAATCACAGCTTTGATTTTCTTTGCTTGCTACACAGGTTGATTGCAAGTAAGATGGCTAAAATGCATACAATTAAACCAGAAGATGGCAACGCAATAGAAGCTAGTTTGTTCCAAACTTTGAGGAAATGGTACCGGAATTGTCCCAGAGAGTTTAAGGATCCAGAAAAAAATGCCAGGTACTTATTTTTTACTAAGTGAAAAATATATTTCTATTGTTCAAGAGATTAAATGAAAGAAACACCTGTGTTTGTGACCAGATTAATGGCTGACTGGTGGCCATTTTTTTTATTATGTTCTTATCTTATAGGATTTTCAAGTATGCAGAGTCCATTTCTGTTTAATGTTAAGCACATCTATTATGCACCAGTACATATTTAGCTCAAAAGATCTTTCTGCAACTTGTGATTTTCCAAATTTCCTTCTGTCTTACATGGTTTTTTTTTAGCAATGTGTATGTCCTAAGTTGTCTCCTTGTTTAATATCATCATTACCAAGAATGCATCGTGGTTACCCTGTGTACATGTATAAGTTTATAATCCAGAATCACTTTGATTAATACCAATTTGGAAACAAATTAAAATTAAGGTATATTTATGGTTTTAAAACCAAATATTTTATGCCACAATGAATTATAATAATTTACTGTGAAATATCTGAATTGAAAAGATGATTCAAAACAGTTTTTTTTTACAAAGTTGTGGCTCAACTGTTGCTTTGATTATTTAATAATGTCAACAGGCTTCAGTTGGATGTAATCCCAGAGGAAAAAGAGCAGCAACAGTCTGACTTTGTTTCCTCCAATTAAGTACATTTATATATAGCAATTCAGTAGATTTCAATTAACATTTATTAAGTTTAAGCACTCTCATTTTATGAGTTGCTATTTTTTGTGAATTTGCAAGTCACTAAATAGCTCTTTCATTCCATTATTCTGTTGTACAATTTTTGTTTTTGTACAATTTATCGTTGTTATGATATCTGCGAAAAGGAATGTTTCCTCAAAACGAATAGCTTAAGTAGGAAACGAGACAAACAAGATTACTTTCGCAACAAAAATGTCAATCAGAACTAAGCATAAACTCTTCATAAAGTTCATAAAAGTAATTTTAATGAAGCAATATTTAATTATTACAAAACATATTGAAATATCTTAACAAGTACAAGCTGAAAAGAATCAGAAAGCAAAAATAATATAAAAGTAACATGGGGAATCTTGAACAAATCATAATCACATGACCATTCCAGAACATTTAAAAACTGTTAATAATGGTTAAAAATTCAAAAATCCACACTAGACTTCATGATATTGTAGAAGATTTCAATAATGTTTGGCCAACAAAATATCTTCACAATAATGAATCAGGATACAGTATCAAATTCATTTTTTTCTAACCAGTCAGTGTTGACAATATTAATGAGATAACTTCTAAATTGGATATTAGAAAAGCTAGGACAACATTCCATCAAAACTTATTAAAGAAGCCAGATTCTATATTTCTCTCCCTTTGTTTCATATTTTGGTGTTTAATATATTTTGTTAAATGGTATTTATGACACAAAGCTCGCCAGCTTCTTGCGTGACTTTTTGTTCATGTGACTTCGCAGTTCATTGTTGTTTTCTTCCTGGCGCCATTTTAAAGTCAATTTCTCCATTGTTGTTACCTAAATAAATATTTTATTCTTTAATATTTCACTACAAACTCTTCCACGTGAATTCACCATGCAACATCGTAACTACTTGAAGCAGAGGCAGGAAATGTACGGCACCGCCGTCTTGACTGCAAGTTCACCTACGGAGGCAGTTGATAACGATACAAGCAGTCAGCCTTGTACAAGTACAAGACTTAATTCAGACAACCCTGCAAATTGGACTGTGTCTACCCTGCGTGACAAATTTTTGCAACTTGGTTTAACGATGCAAAACAAACATGAAGGAAAAGTTTGCTTCAAGTTTTTGAACTTAATCACGGCAGGGGGACAGCCACGTACGGAAGTAGTGCCAGACAATCCAGTTAATGATGCCAACGCCAGTCTTCATCGTGAAATTGCAGATTTACGACAAACTGTGCTTAATTTAGGTGAAAATATCACAAATCAACGCGTTGTAAACAACATTCATATTCATATTAATGATATACTCAATTCTTCTATATTTTTAGCTCCGCTGTTGACTTTGTCGAGTGGAGCTTATCAAACGAGTGATTGTTCATCGTCTTCCGGTGTCAACTTTTTATTTTTGGGACTTCTTCTTAAAAACTACAATTCTTGTTGCTCAATATATATTGTTAATTTTGTGATGATATCTACAATTTTGTAATTGAAAAAGTGCATTGTTAACAGCGGAGCTTCTCAGCCGAGAGGCTGCTTGTTTATTAATTTTAGGCTTTATGTCAACGACTCCAACCTGTTTCATTCTGTACATAAAACTCTATATACCGGTACTATATATCTAAAATACTATATCTCATCAAACAAAATAATTAGAATATGATAAGGCAATCCAGTGGTGTGATGTCAAAAAATTGACAATACATGCAGATAAGACAAACTATATGCCGGTTAGGATAATCAAAATATCACAGTTGAGGGCGCTCTAACTCCTAAGGTATTACATTAAATGAAACTGATTGTACTTCTTTTATTATGACAACAAATTAAGATGGACAAAACATATTGATGGGGTCAGGAAAAAGATATGTAAATTAACTGTAATTTTTTATAGATTAAAATTATTTGTCCTTCAAAGTTGTTGTACAATTTATTTATTTTACCACACATAACCTTTGATCGTATCTAAATTATTTTTGATTCCGAAAATATCATCCAATAAATATGATACACATAGTACCCCTTTATTTAAAAAAAAAATTGAAATTCTTTAAATCTATAAATAGTTTGAGTTCCAGGTTGGTATTTTGGTTGTTCGATGCTTTGCATGACATTCCCATGGTACTACCGTTAGATCCATAACATAAGGCATTCTCCATCCACCAACATTTAGAAGTAAGATGGGTCAAACTTCTATCAAGTATGTAGGTCCTGAAGTTTGGAATAATATTCTGGAAAGCATTAAAAAGCACCACTTTAGATATACTTTTAAAAAAGAATTTAAAAAATATCTTCTAAGTTTATATTAGCACTTGTATTTAAATACAATACTCAATATTTCACAGACTTGTTTTTGACTCCCGTGTGCGAAGCATTTCAATGAAACTTGGTACATAGATTTCATAGGACACTGCACAGACCTGATAGTTTTCAGGGTAATATCAGTAGATATTAATTACCTAATTTGCATAATTAATTAAATTTCAGCTTTTGATATTTCAAGTAGTAATCATCACATTTCAATAACACTTGGCACATAGTTACTTAAGAACTGTGCAGACCCCTGATTAGTTTTTGAGTAAATATTTGTGCATATTAATTACCTTATTAGCATAATTAGTTAATTTTCAGCTTTTTGCCTGATATCTCAGTATAGTTCTTTGCGACGTTTATTTGCTTTATGAAACAGCAGCTTCTTAGCAGGCAGGTGACAAGTGTTCATTTATATAAATTGGGTTGGTTGCATTACCAATGCCGATATCAGTGGGTGTCTTACTCTTCAATTTTTTCTTAGTTGAATATATCTTATTGCGCACACTTCTACGGGTAAAGCTCACAACAATGGTGGCAGTTGGCTTCTTGAAAGGACGGTGGGAATATCTATATCACCTGGTTGGATAACAACACCTACCGCAGACGCGATCTCGTCAGTACCTTCATCTGGTAACTCCCGTATCCCACTGATCTCAATATTATTACATCTCATATATTGCTGGAGATCTTCAATCTCGGTCTGAGCATTCTTTAGACAGGATTCCATATTGGTTACACTATCATTCAGATGTGCATTCTCTCGCTCAAGTACGTATGTGCGCGTATCACAACTTTTATTGTGCACACAATAACAATTATTAACGACAACAACAACGACAATGCCGCACAGAAATTTCTGCGTTAATATACCTTCCGTCTTTGATGTTAAGGGCAAGATAAAAATGTTGACAAAGTCACAATTATTGTTGTATTTGTATTGGTTAGACCCGTGTTCTAATTCTCAGAGTCACTGTGGGGTGTGATCTTACCGTTTTAGCACTGGCCAATCAGGCCGAGAATTAGCCAATCAAATTATGACATTTTGATAGCAATCAAACTTGTGAAATAACATTTTTGTACATTATGTTGCAATTTGTCAAAATTTTGCAGTGATGGCCTATGTGCTGCCAGTAGTGCCAGTTGAATGGAACTAGATGTTTTTTGTAACTCAATGGATACTTGTTGCAATGAAAAACCTTTGTTTTCTTGCGTTTTTTCAGCCCTGATCTGAGTGAATTTGTGGTGAAATAGAACCACACTATCACGACTCTAATTGGTCGAGGGCTGTTTTTTTTTTGTTTTTTTTTTTGCCAGGCAACAGTTTCAGACATTGAATGTAACTGTTGTCACTTCTGACTTTTTTTTTTTTTAAGTGCAAATTGCAAGTGCTAGTGCTAACACATAGTGCATTTTGCCACAGAAGTCATTTCCTGTTTGGGACTACATGACAGGGCTGTGTGGCCATCTTCCTATCAAATGGCATTTTTAATGCGCTATTCTGGCGTCAACCAGGCTCGGTCAAACACAAGCACCTGCGGACCTTAAGTTCCCCCAAAGTCGCATTCGTAAGTGAATGAATCTCGGCCAGTGGAATTGGCCTTCCCATCGAGTCTGTGGCACACTCACCCAGGGTAGGGGTCGACCCTTTGATGTTCAGTCTAAGGTAGGAATTTGAACTTGGGTCTACCGATCATGAGTCTGATGCGACAACCACTATGCTACCAGTGATCAGTTGCAATGAAAAACCTTTATTTTCTTGAATTTTTTCAGCCGTGATCTGACTGAATGGTGAAATAGAACCACACTATCGCCACTCTGATTGGTCGAGGGCTGTTCTAAGTAGTATTATGAAACGTTGGGACAATGTCACAATTATCGTTGTTGTTGTTTTTTGTAGGTTTAAAAAGGATGTTGTATCTCATGAACAGCTGGGTAAAGAGGTTGATGAATTGGGGGCTGCATTAAAACCACTGAATTCACCCATAGTATTCTGTCATAATGACCTCCTATTGGCTAACATTATCTATGATGAACAGACCAGTAAGTACATATTATCACATGGCTGTAACTCAAAGTGCAGAACACAAAAATATTTAAGTTTAAGGGGGTGTATGGGAAATGTTGTCATCATTGTGTATCTAGTTTTACAATAAATTGTACATGATGATGGTAACGATATCTGATATTTACCAATATTACCTAAAACTACATCTTAAATGTTTTTATGTTGAGTATTTATAAATGTTTAAAAATTCCAGACCACAATACAACCTGACCAATTACAACACATTAGTAGTGTATACTGTTTGTATAGAAAATCTTCTGTGTACTTTTGGGCCATGTACGTAATCGACCAATGATTTAAGGAAACCCACAAAGTTGATGATCATATCGAATGGCTTCTGCAGCAATGAAAACATATTCTTTAGGGTGAATGAAGTGAGGAGTGTGTTCTGGAGGGGGGTGGTTTTTATAAATTTCTGCAAAAAGCATGCATGCATTTATAAAATGGAGTGAAGAAGTGGATAAATATATAAATTAAGAATATTTAACTTTCATATGAGATCAATGTGTGTGGCAATCTAACAGAATGTCATGGACACTTGTAGGTAACCATAGAAACATTTGAAATTGACTAAAGAGTATTTCTAGAATTGTACCTGTATATTATCTTGAGATATTGGTCCATTCAATGCTAAGTATTTTTAGTTTGAGGTTTTCAAGTTGACAGAAAAAATCTCTGGTGCCTGTTTTCACAATCTCTCAACTCTTAAAATTGAGAAATTCATACAATCATCACGGTATAGAGATTTGAGATCCTGAGAATGGAGTGAATGAGGTCAAATGGGAAAGTACCCAGTGTCACAAGACTTCAGATGTGGGAGTGTGTCTCTTAAAATTTGATATTCATCTTTGTGTCTTTCAGATAGTGTTTCATTTGTTGATTACGAGTATGGGACGTTTAATTACCAAGCCTTTGATATTGCCGATCACTTTGCTGAATACGCAGGTAAAGTAGTTACATATGTCTATAGCTAGATTTATTATGTAATAGTGCTATTGGGCAGTGTAATTTTATCTTCTTTAAGACAACCTACCACAAAGACAGTCAAAGTAATTGTGATTTATTCATTCCAATTTTACATATATTTTCATTGCAACATCTTTTAAAAAAAGTAAAATGAATGGTGTTAAAACAAAATAAAATAAACCTGGTGTTTTGTGTGGTCTTCTAGAGGTGGGGTGGGCTTTTTGTATTCATGACTATCATTTTCAATGTACTGGGTCGATAGATCTAAGGATCTTTCAATTAACCACGCAATTTTTCCGGAAATAATCATTTCATCATTGCTTGAATTGCTCATTAAAGCAAAAAAAAAAAACCTGTTTCAGGGCCAAAAATATGATGTGGTGATGCATTTGTTTTTTTATGAATCATCAAGAAAGTCGATCTGTGCATGTGTGAACAAGATATTGACAGGCACATGCCGCCCATGCGAAACACACAATGGGAGTTTTTGTGGTTAGTGTGTCTGTATGTATGTATGTGTGTGTGTGTGTCTCTCTTTTCCACTGTTATCTCAAGAACCAATCATCAGATTTTGATGAAACTTGGTACATTGATGCTCTGGGGTAATGCTTAGACCTGATTAGTTTTTGGTTGAAATACATACCAAATATGCATATTGTTACGAACGGGAATATGAGATAGTCTCCCGCGAACCTGGCCGCCAATATCTCGTACTCCAGAACGCAACACTAAAGGTCAAACAAAGGCACACAGTCAGGATATGTCCGATAATACTAATTTAATAATACAACAAGCATAAACCAATAACAGGAGTAATATAAATCACAAACCGGTCAACAATATACATCACAATAAATATAACATTAATGATAATAGCCCAGCTCGGAATTGCCTACCCTACCCAAGTGCAGAACTCGTACTGCGTAGTTTCAGCGATAGTACAGTTAATCACAGCAACGTCGACGGCGATATCAGTTCTACATACAGCTCCAAACTACGAGGTCTCGGAGAATGCAAATTACACGACACTGACCGTAATGTTACACGACTTCTATACCGTCCGTGCAGAGAAAAGACCAAGATCAGCAAACCACGCTTTCTGGCGAAAAACAGGTCTTTGAATAAGGCTGGTTTTACAGTGCAGAACCACAGAAGACTGTTTTGCATCTATCAGTCCCTCATGCCGAATTGGTCACGCATTATCTTGAGACATACGTTGGCTGCCACGTTAACACTGCACCGGAGCTGGGAGCTGGGTGACAACTTGATTAACTCGTGTTCACGTTCGTCTTGCACAAGCACGACAAAGATA